TTTGATCATATTCACTAACCCTCCTCCCATAGTCACCCCTTCCCTATCCACCCAGCGTTATGTCCTCATTTTCTTTTAAAACCTGTTCATATACCCTTGAGTATGGGACCATTCACTGGACGGACCTTGGTCAACCTACCAGGGGTTTAAAAAAACTGACTTTTCCCTCTCCTAACAGCTGTCAGTTGTCAGTAACTTCTCAGCTAGAGTGGGACTTAGTGATCACCTCCCCTCTCCATGCTGAGATTTTGTCTGATTTGAGCTTATGCAGGTCTTGTGCATGCTGTCACAACCTTGATACAGTAAGAAAGTGCTCATAGTCTGTGCACTGCAGTCATGGAGACTACCCTCCAGATACAGTCTGTAGTACTCAGTCTGATCTTTCCTTCCTTCCTGTCTTTTAAAAATTAATTTTTATTTATGTGTATGTGTGTTTACCTGATTATTTGTAATATGCACTATGTGCATGCAGGTGCCTGAAGAGGCCAGAAGAGGGCATCAGATCCCCTGGAACTGGAGTTACAGGCTGTTGTAAGCCATTTCATATGGGTGCTGGGAACTAAATCCAGTCTTCTTCAAGAGCAGCAAGTATTCTTAACCACTGAGCTATCTCTCCAGACCTCTTCCCTTTCTAAAAATAAATCAACTGGGGCTAGGGCTATAATGCAGTGGTACCAGTATGTGCAAGGCCTTAAACACTAGTTTTCCTTAATGAACAGCAGCAGAAGGACTAAGAAAATACAGAGGAATGGGATAAAGAGTTGCCAGTTTTTAAGTGAACAGACAATATATATTTCATCTCAAAATTATTTTAAAATACAGCTGACAGGATTAAAAGCGCAAGCTGCACCATTTTATATCCATCTACAAATTGTACTATATGTGGGAAGTGTCAGAATCAGTTCTCCTTGGATATTGAGGGGAAACTCTAAGTGTAAAGGACGCAAGTAGGTCTTGGGCTGCATGTAATATAGCCAGACCTCATTCAATAACCTCCCTCCTATATCCCATCCTCTTACCTACAGTAGTTATACTTTAGGAATTCCTGTAAAGCACAGAAAAGGAAGGAAAAAAATGGTCAATTGTTTTTCTATTCTAAATTTATTGAAGGACTGCTGGCCTCTGAGGTTCTTCTCAGAGGTCTTGAATTTGCACATTCCAGCCTTGATGCTATGCAGTGGGGGTCATACCTGGGCCTTAGGCCATCCCACCTGCATAGCCACTTAGGACTCATGTGGCACTGAGTCCCTAGCATCTCAAAAGTCTTGGCTTCTTCTCTACCAAATCAGCATTTACAGTGATGTTAGGAAGATATAAAGTGAAGTGTGCAGAGTATAGCTCCTAGTAAGTAGAAGCCTTCTGCAGTGTGGCTCGCTCAGGCTTTCTCTTTCCTTATGCTGCCCCAGGGCTGGGCTTCTGGTCAGATCATAGCAAATGCCCAAGGCTTTGAGGAATCCAGGCCACATAGCAGTCTTGGATGATTAGGATAAGCTGGGGACACTCACCTGAGAGTGAGAACATTGGCCTCTTCCTCCTTAGGTGCTCTCTCTAATCCTAAAGTCTTCAGTTATGGGGTGGAAGCCTATGAAGCCTGCAAGAAGAAGGCTCTGACCAGTGACATCCTTGAGGAGCAGAAAAAGTTCCCGCTGTGCTGGTTCAGTGTGCCAGCAATTTTGAAGGGCTGGATGGACAGGGTGCTGTGCCAAGGGTTTGCTTTCGATGTCCCAGACTTCTATGACACAGGATTTCTCAAGGATAAATTAGTCCTCCTTTCCTTAACCACGGGTCAAATCAATTTTCAAGCAAGAGGTCTGACTGGTCTTGACTCCTAGAAGCTAACAGCTCACCCCAGGCATAGAAAGGGCTAGCTCATTTCCATACCCTTCTTCATGTTCCCCTTGATGGACAGTTGCAAGGACTTTACTGCCCCAAGGTCTGTTGTTTTCACTTCCTCACTGCCTACTCTGGAGCTCCCATCAGGGAACAGAGTCACCATAATAGCAATTGTACCATTGTCAACTCTACCTCTCCCCGCACCATGTCCCCAGCTGTACCCCTCTGAGCTGACCGTGTGGGCTCCCCTCATTGCTGGGCACGGGAGGGAGAGAGGTCTGTGTGATAAAGTATGAGTCTTGAGACAAGGCACAGTGTTGTTTATGTTTGCTGTGCTGCCCCCAGTTCCCGCTGTACTGGTTCAGTGTGCCAGCAATTTTGAAGGGCTGGATGGACAGGGTGCTGTGCCAAGGGTTTGCTTTCGATGTCCCAGACTTCTATGACACAGGATTTCTCAAGGTATGTACCCTGGGGATAAGGATTGCTACAGATCCTTCCAGTGGGAGGAAGGCATCTTTCAATTTATATTTCTAGTTTGCATCTTTGTATTAGGTAAATGGTCACTGAGCACTTACTGTGTGCACAGCACACTGCGCATGCTTAAGTGCATCCTTTTTAAGTTCAGAGAGCTTTTTGACAGTGGAGGAGGCACATACACATTAACCACACACAAGGCAAAGGAAATATGGAGCTGGATGCTGCTGCGCAGGGGCTGAAATGGGAAATGACATGAGCAGCAGGGTGCCAACTCTGTAACAGTTCACCTGCCTTGTACCAATTCATACCTCTGGGCTCTGTGTGCCCATCTAGGGAAAAAAGTTGCATAGCACCAGTGTTTTAAGGGAAAAGAGGTGTGTGGTACTTGGTGGGTGCCTGTGCATAGTGGCTGTAAACTTGTACTGAGAGAATTTCCTACTAAAAAAACAACTTTAAATTCTCAAAGCCTCTGAAAATAAGTGTATACAAGGAAAATGAACCAGGTAACCAAGATGCTGTCCTTCATTGCTTGGTCATCCTATGTGGGCCCCACTCACCAGCCACCTTCCCCCACAACTCTGTGG